AACGGATCGTGTATACGAGAGTGGGAGCAATCGTGCGTGCAAAGCTTTGTGAGCGCAAAGAGTTCTGGGTGCGAGTCTTTCCCAACGCAAATAATTGCTTAATAATGTTTGCGTGCGGCAGTTTCCGCTACGACATTTTGGCACAAGGTCCCTGTCACGGCTGCCATGGAGAACTTAAGATCCATGTTAGTCATCCATGCGTTTACTACAAACATGATTCTGCTCCATGCCACTTTTTGTACAGAGGGCGCCAGCTGATGGAGCTGGTGTTAAACTGATCGCCCATATCAGCGCAGCTCACGCGACTGCTACGAATTGTGATATAGGTGGCGCTCAAGTAGCTTAGATACAGATGACGGCACCGTGTTTCGTCCAGATTCGGTGCATAGCAACGTTGTTTAAGATGCATGCACAATTTAAAGGATACCCATCAGCACTTTATCAGCAGACTATGGTTAAGGGCTAAAGAAGTCACTGGGCAACACAAACGGTTGTTTGCACGATGTTCGCCACCGCTAGTTTCACACCGCTGTGCAGTTCTTTCCAATGCTGATGTTCCTCAGTTTGGGAGAACGATAAGCGACTTATGATACGGAGTAGAGAAGCTCCTCCACATTTTTGTAACCCTTTCGGAGACTGTAAACGACCCACGCCACGGTGTCGCTGGGCCGTCACAACACCGGGCTGTAGCAAGTCCGTAACAAGACGGCCAGTGGCATTCTTATTTTCACTCTGCCATCTCAGTCTTGAGATGGGCCTGGCTAGGGTTCAGAAAGCTAACCAAGCAAACTTTGTTAACTAATTGGGGTAGTTGGCTTGGTCGGTAGGCTCGGTCTACCCTGCCATGTAATGCAGCTCTTACAGTTTTACAGTTGAGTTGGAGCTGGAGTCGGCCACGGTGGCGCGACCGACGGCACTCTCTCGTACCTGCTGCTTACAGTAAGCATAGTTTCAAATGATTGTTATGGTTGTTTCTTGTTATTCCATTTGCACTAAAAGATAGTCCAAGATGGCTACAAGCTGTGGGAATGTAATGCAACAACGTGGCACTGATGCCAATGACATGCGTGACTCCAGCATGATATCCAGATGCCGTGGCTCTGGAGAACCTTACTAGTTACATATTGATTAACGGAGACCCAGCTCGCTCCGACTACTCACACGTGTGCGTCAGAAAACATAACTGGTCGGTCTGATCTCATTAGCTGTTGGGATTTAGCCTGCCATAAGTACTTGCAAAACAAAGCAAGCGTATTTTATAGTATCGCATTCAGTTACTGGTAGGAGTGGAGGAATCTATGAAAAATGGTGGTTTAGGCTGCAAGAGATGATGCCAATTTTGACTGGTGACGGATTCCGTATCCATACTTTCAGGCGTGAGCAACAAAATATTCAGGAAACCCGTTCCGTGCAGCCATAGTGAGCGCCATCTACAGGCCTCACTGGTCGCCCCTCACCAGAGAGCTGGGACTCTCCGAGAGGAAACTCCAAGCGGCAGTCTCCGCTGGCAGGCAGGTCGTTGCCGTGGCTGACATAATTATCATCATGCTGGAGGACTCCAACTCAGGAAGTCGTGGCCCAAATGGCATCACTAACGACTTAGTCTCACGCAGCGAACGAACAAGCCCACCCATATTCACCAAACATCCCCACCGATCGACCTGGTGCTAGCTAACACTACCGACCGTGTGTCATCTGCATTTGTCCATCCTGCGCCTGTGACTGATCTCCAGCTCGTCATTACCAGCGCCCAAGGCTCGTCGGCAGACCCCGCGCCCCGCCCGCGGTCCCCACTACGGCAAGGCTCATGAGACGCGTGCACTGGGATGCGCTGCGTCTCCGTCTCCTCACCGCGGACTATGAGCTGCTCTGTAGCGTCGCATCGATAGATGACAAGCTCCCTGCATTTATCGACGTCTGTTGAGCGGCTATTGACGGGCTTTGCCCGACTGTCACGGCGACATGGCGCCGTCCCGTCTACCCGTGGTTTCTATGACAACAAAGAAACAACAACACCTCGACATCCTGGCAGGTACAGAAGCGTGCGACTCAGTAAGACGATTCTGGGAAGACCATACAGCTACTGCGACGCGGCACGAGTCGCAACAGAGCGCCAACCGACCGCAGAGACTCCTGATTCCAGCAAAAAAGAAATTAATCTGTGAAAACCTGCTGACTGACCAACGAGCTTTCTAGAATCGGGTGTTTGCGATCCGATATCAATGTCCTGATCCGGGGCCTGACTTTTCAACCGACAGATGCCGCTCCATCCAGCTGTGACGTCATCGACAAACCGGACAAGTTGAGTGCTAGAGGAGCTCCCGGGTATTCAGCCCCGCCATGCTGTCTGAGCTCTCAAAAGCTTTTGGACGTGTCACCCGTTGGACTCTATAAGGTGTGGTCAAGTGTTTTCCTGCCGATCCCTGTCATCTCTGCATTATCAACCAGTTCATCAACACCTGCGTTTTTTCCGAAAGCCTGGAAATAGCTTGTGTATCGACAGGTACCAAATATGGCGATCACTCGGATATTGACTCTTTTCGGCCCATTTTCACCATGCTAGTAATTCCAAAACCGCCGGAAAATGTTGCACCTATTCAACTCGTCTCTACTCTCATTCCAAACAATCCACTTTCCCTTTCTGTTGCGCCTATCGGCCATATTATTCCACGGAGGACGCCACGCTGTCAAGTAGATATCGGAAAAGATCGATGAAGGTGACGATGCGTCGCTAACGACTTTCCACACCTGTGAAGCCTTTCATCAGTGTCACCGCGGGGCCTTCCTGGACGAACCCGAGTGGCGCCACCCGACGTCACGTCACGCGACGCAGATAACGAGCCAGGGGCGTGTTTCACAAAGTGAGTTTGCGGGGGGCGGAAACTGAGCAATTATTATATTTATATTAGTGTATTGCTGAAGCGATTTCCACTTACGCTGTTTGCGCGTGCACACCACAGATAGTCTATGTAATACAGAAGTCTATTACTCGTTTTTCAGTAGCTGCATTGACCTCTACCAGAACTTGTGCGCATGCTCAATATACATAATCTATCAGAAAATATATTTTCACCTTGCCAAAACGCAGCAAAGGTGCGCCGGACAACCTTAGATTTGGTTTACTCATCGTGCAGCATGCTGCATATAAACATGAAGGCCTTGAATTGGGATGCCGGTAGCGTAGTGGTTAACGCACCACTGCGCGTCTGGGAAACCAGAGGTACGGGTTCGATTCCCCGCGGTTCCCCGTTATTCCCGCCAGGGCGAGAGGCGGGTGACGCCATATAGCCTCAGCAGCTGAGTGCGTCGTAAAACTCCAACGACAGAAGGCCTTGAATTGCCTGTGCGTCGTGGATTTCTTTAAAATTGTGGCGCAACAGGGGGTCATAATTCCACGAAAAGCAGTAAGATTTCGTAGTGTGGTGGAGAACAGCTTGGAACCGGAAACCAAAACAACACGGGAAGGAGAAGACCCTGACTCGGCAGAGAAAACGCTTTAACACCGCTGTTAGCGCAACGTTACGGCGGGGTGCACGTTGTGTGCTTTGCCATATTTAGTGCAATTTTGCGGAATTTTCTTTAGAGCTTCTAAAGGGGCTTTCGGACCTTGCCAGAAGAATGAAAATGGTCCTGGAGCTCTATGTCGCTTGGTTTGGCTGTAAATCACTCTTGCAACCTTCTGCAACTTGCACCAATTTGGAAAATTCGTCTTCAGGATCTCAAATGCCCTAGGAAAAACACTGAGGGTGGTTTTAGGGCGCAACTTATTTCGTTTAGTAGTGAACTGCTCCCGCGAGGCCAGCGAAGGTAGTGTTAGGACACTAACTTGCTTTGTTGTGGTCATACCCTTTTCATTTCGTGCTAGGGATGTCCTTTGTTCCGGCAACTTAGCTGTCTTGCAAAGAAGACTGCGCCACTCACTAATGCACCCCGTGCTCCTTCCGAACTATATACAAGTGTTACGCAGGTCAGTGTAATATGTGAAAGTAAATTGCCATGCAAATTAGGCTCTATGGTACGTCAGGTGACATAAGCATTGGGTGTCCCGGGATGTTGGATGTGATACACCAGATGGTTTGCTCTATTTGAAGTTGAGTTAAATTACGTGTTTTGGGTATTCAATGTCACGGTTCAGTGGTGATTCAGGACAATCGGGGTTACGACGGCTACCCAGTATGCTTCTGCACAGCAACCCGCGGACTTTTTGACTCTGAAGGCAACACCAAGAGTCGGGAAAATGGTTGCTAAGGCGCCTGGCTACTACTAAACAAATAATGCTTTCCGACCACGATATGCAAACCTCTTTACTAGTTCCAAACAGCGCTTTTTTGATAGCCTGTAACGAATAGTCTGTTTTGTTTCGCCGCGTGATGCGGTACCCATAACTCAGCTGTCTGCTGCACCCAGCGAGGACGCGGACCAGCCATTCAGACATAACATGTCCTATCGACGCGGCTGAGTCACGCTGACCCAACCGCAAGCCGTGTGGTTGGGTCGATCACCCAACCGTCGCTTGGGTGATCGAAGCTGAAATTCCACCACGTGACTGGAAATTCCTGCTCAACTCCGTTTTACCTGTGCTCTAGTACCGATAGTATGGACCTGAGCAGTTAATTTATCGCTTAATTCCGTCCACTGGTTATACCATAAACAGAGAAGACAACAAAAAAGCATCATGAATGAGCGACCTATACCACTCAATGCCACTCAATGATCACAAGGCTATTGCGTGATCCATATGGATGATTTGGCATGTATTAGTGACACTCAAGCCACGTGAATATTATCTTTAGTTCCATAAACCCGCGTGGAGCCACCGCAAACAATCTGGGTACAGCACGACACTTTAAGGGAACGACCAACCCTACATGACGGACAGGCGGGTGGTGAACTTCTCACACACACACGCACACATTCCCACACGCCGCGCGGAGTGGTTGATGGCAGCCAGCCTCCGTTACACATGCTGGCAACTCGGTGTCACTGGGCGCCCGCCGAAGCTACCACAGCGGGTAGTAGCTGGGACCGACGGCCTCTTGGGCGCAGATGTACTTCTGCTTGGAAAAGCAACTCATGTGGGTGAACACGATGGGGAAGGCAGTGGCGTTGATGGCCAGGCAGTCGGCGCCCACGCTCCAGTCATCCATGTACGGGCCGAGCAAGGTGCCGACGTCGTCGGTGGAGGTGCCGTCCTCCCACACGAACACGTCGCCCTCGTTCTCCAGGCCTATCCAGTAGACGTGCTCGTTAGCCATGAGGAGCAGGAAGGTGACCAGGCCCGAGTCGTGGATGGAGACGAGCTCGCTGCCCTGCTCGTGGCACGCGTGCGCTGCCGCCGGCCAGTAGTCCTCCTCGGCGCTGAACAAGTAGCACGTGTCGGCGTACTGTACCCACCTGGGCGGACAGGCCTCCGGCGCCGGCGTGGTTGGTGTGGTCGTTCTCACTGTCGTGGTGGGTGAGGTGGGCGGCGGCGTTAGGTCCACGTAGCACACGTATCCACGCCGCTCATCGCCGTCGTCCAGGTGGAGCAGGCCGTCGGACGCCGCGATGTAGCCGTACAGGCCGCTGTCGGGCTCAGCTGCGAAGAACGCGTCCAGCGTGTCGCTGTAGGTTGCGCCGTCGGCCCAGGAGCGGCCGCCAGGCAGGTTCAGCAACCCCGTCCACGAGTCCACGCCACCCCCGCCCACAAAGAAAGACATCGGGTAGAAGCTGTTGGCGGCGGGAATCGAAAGCAGGCTGCCGCCGTCGGCACTCGTCAGGCATTTGATGTACGCCATCGTCCAGGTCAAGTTGTCTGGTGCAAACATGTAGCAGCGATTGTCGCCCAGGCCCTTGTCCTCGTACCCGGGCGGGCACTCGAGCGCGCCCGCCGCCAGAGGCGCCAGCGTCGCGCAGACGGTCAACCAGATCAGCATGGCTGGGTGGGGAGGTGCGAATAGCGGGCGCTGAGCGATGGCCTCTATCTGCAGGTTGCGAGAGGGCACCGCAGCTTTATACGACAGAACATCCGTGGGAGCGCGGCCACCTGCATCCGCCGGCAGCCGGCGGGTCCGGCAGCGCGTGACGACGCGCCGGCCGCCGCGTTGCGACACGCAAACTGGGCGCCTCGCGTTTACAAACAGTTCGCGGAAGCAATCGCAGCAACAGATTGGCGAGTTCCCTGGGAGGAGGCAATCGGATAGGGGCTTTTGATAGTAATGAGGTTAACAGGCGAGCAACATTTCGTGTCGAGCTGACGCCCACGCACCTGCTGTTCTCCTTAGGGGTCATTCCTCAACAAAACGACCACAGATAGGCTATTTCGGCGCGGCACCCCTTCAGATTTGACCAGAATATAATATGAGGTAATTATGCGGGCAAAATATCAGTCTGCCAGCTTTAGAGCCATGCGGCGCTCCGAAAAGGAACTAGAAACAGATGCAATACATGATGACACCACGAAGCCTATTTCTTAAGTTTTTCGACCAAAATAGTTTGCGGAGCATAATGATTGGGAAAAGCGCATCAAAAAGCTTTTGCATTTTTATAAAACATGGGTTACAGTAGCATTCAAGGACAACACTGTGCACATTGTCAGATGAGGTTGACATTATAGCCTCATTTTCTGAAAACAACCAGAATCTATCCATACGAACCATCCCTCCCCCTAGACTCAATCACTTCTGGAGAATCTCCTGCTATCTGCGTGACAGAGGCGCCATTTCGTGCGCCAGGCGACAAACCACCGACGACAGAATGAACTGGCCGTGGGGCCTCCCTCGGGACCGCTTTTTGCCGACGCCTGCACGTGCCACGTGGAAGACAAAGTCCATCACAATGCATCCTTCCGTCCCGCACTTAACGCACAATATGTGGACGACATTTTTGTAGACGGCACGGACAAAATCCAACTGATCGAACTAAAAATACAATGGGATAAATTTCAGTTCTCTGATTCACGTACGATCTAAGCGTCACTAGCTGCACTCTATCTTTATACATAGACATCGCTGCTTACCGACAACCATCCGTGACAATAGTGCACAAAAAGACAACAGATGCTAGACGATGCCCCATTGCGACAACCGAGTACCCCAAACAGTACAAATTCAGTGTATTGCGCTTCTACTTTAGAAGAACTTTCAAACTCTGCTCTGATTGGACGCAACTACACAGTGAACTGCAGCGCATCAAACAAGTCATTGAAAGTCACAGTTGCTCCAACAGTACCATCGACCGTAAGTACAGCAGCTTAATGTCGCGATATCAGGCAAAAACCGACGCTTTCAGACATCAGCCAAATCGAATTAAAGTGCTCAGTGTCTGAATTCAGTGTCTGATAGTTATTAGGCAAACGAGCGTATCCGCAAGAAAATAATATCTGACAACATCAAGATAACGTTTACCATGTAGTACAAATACAGAAAGATCACTCAACTCATCATGAAAAATAACCTCACGACCAAATCTGATCCTTGAAAGGTGCCAACGTAGCTTACCGGTTTCGTTGTGACATAGGAGATTGCAGACTCAAATCAATTTAACTGCGTTGGTGTCACTACCACCACACTTTCAAGGCAACTGATGATGCAAATGGCTGACGGTCCTCCAAAAAAACACATGAGAAAAGAACACGGCCGGCGCATTAGCCGAGACGACCTCACCAGAAACACCAGCATCAAAACATCATCAAACAGGAGGAAGCTTTATGATCTGGCGGCTTTCATGATCAAAACATTGTCACCGGAACTGAACAAACAAATCAACCCCTCAGTCACCCTTCAGCTTACTTGGGGATGAATGATCGTTACCATGAGTATAGATAGTATATCAACCTCACTCGCTTAACTTATGCAATCAGGATGTTTGAATGCATTGATACGTCCCAAGGCTAAAGAGACAGTGCAGTGCAGTGCAGCGGGCTTGCTTTGCTGAGAGACGGATCAGACTATTGCAAAATGCATGCATGAAAACACTTTTGTGTTTCTGGAAAATCACGTGTTCATTATTTTTCGGTATATTCGACATAAGTCGTAGGAAATTCGGCCACAGCCTATCAATGGCTGCCGAGATGCCTGACAGGTACCGGGGACCGGGGCCGTCTAGCCGTAAGCCAGCCGCCCTTCACTGGCTGCCGAGATGCCTGACAGGTACTGGGGATGGGGTCGTCTAGCAGTACGTCAGTCGCCTGGTTATCATGCATACTGCTGAGCTGAATGATTAGACTCGTAGGAGATGCACAGTAATGCAGTATATTTCACTCATATCCGCAGGTAATGCCTGGCCACTTCCTGGAAGGCAGTGCTTATTAAGCTGTGAACAACTTCCCACGCCCTTTCCACCGTATTGCTGAATCATTGTAGAGCAGTATAAGCCGCGTATCGTTGGGTGACGTCTCTCGTTTAAGCCTTTTTCTTACATTCGCCTCACAGTTTTTGCTTTGGCCGAGTCCGCTTTGAATCACTTAATCACAGTATAAGCCGCGTATCGTTGAGTGACGCCTCTCGTTTAAGCCTTTTTTTGCATTCGCCTCATAGTTTTTTGCTTTGGCCAAATCTGCAATGCGCAAGCCAAGTGGGATATACAAATTTTGGATTAATCTGATTTTACGTAGACTTATTGACATTAACCTCGCGTTGCCAGCAAGCGTACGTTCGCCATAAGTCACCCGATCACACCCAAGGTCTCAGCCCTATCGGGCCTGGGCAGGCACGCGGATGGCGTGTTTATGGAAACGGTGGAGGTAATTTTGCCAATGGAACCAAGTGCAGTTATTTTTAATATCAGCCGATAGATTGAGTGTCCTATTGGGAGCCATAGCCTTCCCCGCTCGTGTACCAATCAGGGGCACCAATCGCGGAGGAAGCGGAGCTCAGCGCCAGAAATAGCCTTCCACGCCTCGTTTGCACAGTCACGGGAAGCAGCAGCCACATTGGTCCCATAGCGCGAAAGGCGTTAGCTGAGGAAACCGCCGGTGTTTCGGCAGCCTTGCAGGCAATATTATCAAGAGATTTTTGCTGTTTTACCAGAGCAAAGAAAAGTAGGGTTAACATATTTCTCTGCTTTTCAACTGTACAAGATTAACATTTTGCGACCCAATACTTAAAATTCCATGCGACATGTGGTAAGTATGAAAAACTTAAGAGCAGCCTATCAGGACAATGTAATATTAATCTATGCTTAGCTGACAAGTTTGTCAACGGCTTGATTTTTCGGCCATAAATGGCACTCTAATGCCTACAAACTCGCGGTGATGTCAGTAATGTACAAATTGTGAGAGGGTAGGTTGAACAAATACTTTGGGACGAAATTAAGGATCATCACACAATCCGAATTCGCTATCTGAAGGGAAGCACGGTTTTTATGCGGAAACATTGCATGGAACAATGATTTACAACCAAATAACGGTACAAATAACGGTACAAAAAACACTTACTCAAGTCCGATCTCATCCAAGTGCTTACAGAATAGACACAAAGGAGCCTGAATACCCACTAACAACAAAAATACGCCAACTGCTTATTTTACCTAGATACGCTAGGTAAAAGATACGCTTATTTTACCTAGATATGCTAGGAAATAGATACGCTTATTTTACCTAGATACCCTAGGTAAAATAACGGCTACTATGACACGAACGCTAACCACATCTGTGTCATAATAACCATTTGCCAGAGTTGGGGAGTGGCAGCTCAACCAAACCAGGCGCATTCCTCCCTCTAGGTAAGCCCTAGGGTCATTCGCTGCGACCGCATCATGCCCTTTAATCGATGTCTAGAACATTTTTGCTGTAGGAGTTTATTTATTTTCGCGCTGCTTCACTTTAAATGCCTCCCAATGTTTGATGCCAGCCCAACGCATTTATTTTCAATACAATTGAACACTTTATTGCAACATTCTGGACCTTACATTCCAGAGCAATTATACAAAATAATCATGCATCTAGATAATGCAGTAGTAATAGCCTTATTTCTCGGAGAAAAACCAGGAGAATGGAGACATGGGTGGGCTGGCACCAAACATTGGAAGGTATTCAAAACGATTAAAATGCGCATCCACCCTCCATCTGAGCAGCACGGATCATCGGCAAACAATTTTGAATTCGCTTCTGTTATTGTTTCGATAAAGGCATGTTGCCGAAACATGAACCCACCTATATCTCTATTCTCCTGGTTTCTCTCCGAGAAATAAGGCTATGACTGCTGTCTTATCCATGTGAATAATGTTCCCCGCAGGCACACTGAACAACTTACATAATCACACATCCTACTGGGGAACAGCCTCCTTTCGTCTTATCTAAAGCCTTAAAGATTAACCTTATTATCGTATTAAGTATCAGGACCTGGCATATAAGATCAAACAGCCTTGCGGGCCCGATGTATAATTTTTCACATTCAGAATCCTTCCAAGGCTTGAGAGTTCCAAATTTTCGAGCTCAATGGCGAGGCGGGCGAATTTCAGAATCTTAGAGGCTGACAGCTGTAACGGGGCGATGCACCTGAGCTGGAGAAGCGAACCGCAAACACGGGATACTCACTGCTGACCGTGAGACTCGATCTCTTCATGCACTAAGTTTTTAAATCCATTGGCGTCCAATGTTGGAGGGTGTAAATGCATTCACCCAGCAATACGACCTCGTTTCCTGAATGCATTTCCGCTTAATCCGGAGGCATTGAGCAATGTTTCGATGCAATATTTCCGGCGTTTTATGTCCTTCAGTAACATAGGCATGAATCCAGACCAATATATTTCCACGTTTTAACCTAACACGCACATTGCTGTGGTACCTGACGTGTTTCGTTTGCTTGGAATGATATCGCGCTCCCATTACCTTCCTTTCCCCAATATTTCGCAACTCATTGAACCAAACGGTCCTGTTCAGACCGTGAAAGATCCTCCCCCCTCCTCATTGATACGATCTTAGCACATGCCAATG